GTGTGTGAGAGTGAGAGATAGAGAGAGTGTGTGAGAGCAGCTAAACTCGCTCCGGTAGACACTCTAGGTCCTTATCATAACAGTATCATGGTGTGATGACAGTGATAGACAATAATGGAAAATAGTAGTATAACCTCAAATAGTAGAGACTTGTGACGTTCAAAAGGAACTCAAGGTGACCTGTTTTCTATTGTGTGTTTGCATTGTCTGTCTGTGCTTCCAAGGTACCCTCTGAAGTATATTTGTGATGATATTCAGATTATTAACCCAGCCTAAAAGGAGCAACGTAACAATTTAGATTTAGTGCACACCAAGCGAGAGGGAATCCGAGAGCATCAATCTTTTTTACACACACACACTTCCTGTAGGTCTACAATCTCTGGTCCACAGCTCTGTTTTTCAAGCACACTCCTGCAGAAGCATCAGACGCCATCCCACCAAACGGATGGCGCTCCTACTAGTACTGTACAGTTATAGCCATGACCGGTCACCACACCACATTTGTATTTATTGCTGATTCTCCTGGTAGAGCAGTAGTAGGGAAAAGCTCATATATCCTCTCTTATGGGTTTTTTACGAATGGATGTTGTCTTCCGGGCTCTTTTTCGCATATTCAACAGAAACATGTACAGTGTTTTAAAGAGGGCTGCTTTGGACATACTGTTAGCTCACTTTCTTTGGGGTTTTTCTTTTTTTTTTCTTCTTTGTTTTTCTTTTCTTTTTTTATTTTTTTATTTTTTTTTACAACTTCTGCTTACAGCTTTTAGTGCATCACTAGGTGCTGGTAGGATGATACTTAGAACTGATATGATTTTTTAATTGTATTAATCTTGCATGTAGAGACAATACAAAAACGCCTATTTAGCAATCATTCATGGACATCCGAGCTGGTTGTTATTGGACGGAAAATAGAAATATGTAGTATTTTCTATATTCTCTGTTTTTTCATGTGTACCAGCACTGAGAAACTAGAATGTATTATTATCGTAGGCTACAATAAGCACTACATCGTCGACTGTTTTAGCTAATGCTCATACTCAAGCAAACCAAGTAGTGCTTAAAAGGAAGAAAATTTACATTTCATGTCATTTTCATCCACTGAACTCTGTGCTGTACATCACATGTTTACATTCTGTATTATGTTGTTGATCTGTTTTACTTTGTGCATAATGTCTCCAAAATGTCCGTCTTTATGTTGAAACATTCAACAATGTTCATATGTAAATATTTCAAAGCAAAAACATTTTTTTTATTACTTTTCTCGGTTTCAATATCGAACGATAACCTGATGTTTCTTTATTTGGTCGTTGTTTTTTTTTTATTCTGTTCTCTCACTACATCAGGTAATATGCTTCACTTAACTTTTTGTGAGCAATTAACTCATACTGTATGGTGCTGTACCAAAGCCTTATGTATAATATTTGTATTACTTTTCTCTCGTTTGCCACTGCTGTCCAGTGAAGTCTGTATCGTCTCAGATCATGTCGTACTCACTCTTCATGTTCAACTGCCATGAATCTCGTTTCTTTACTGAGTAAAAACAGAAACCTGAATGAACTATGGTCTAACAAGACTCTGGCCTGTATCCAACTGGCCTGGATTTAAAGTGACAGTTGCCATCTCAAGCCTTTATTGGGAAAATGCACAGGCTCAATGCTGGTAGCTCATCGTGACGTAGACATGGGCCTAGCACATGATCTACGCTCTATCTATGGCATGTCTGTGAGAATATGAAAGCAGTGTTGTATTCATGTCACCATATCATTTCAAATGCTTAGTCCCATACAAAATTTTCCTCTCAAATTTTTGTATTTTGATATAATAAAAAAAATTGAAAGAGATGTCACTTTTCTTGTGGTTTTGTCTGGTGGGTGGAACTGATCTGTGAAGGGAAGGGAGTAGTTCACATGTTGAACACGAGGTGTAGGTATTGGGCTGAGGATGGGGAAGATGTGTGAGTAGTTTAAATGAGGTCATCTTTTTCGTTTTCTTTCTTTTCACTTCTAGGACACACAGGCACCTGCCCATCAGTCAAAGTTCAATTTCATTTTCTCATCAAAAAATAAGTCACCTCCAATAACCCAAAAATTTACAAATGCAAATAAGAAAATGTGTAAATGCATCTGTGTTGTTCAGTGATAAATATTTTGACTTTGTTGTCTCCACCCAGACGTTAGTGAATGTTGTGTTGCAGCTGAGCCCGGATGAGGAAAGCAAACAACCTGAGAGGAGCTGAAGTGTGCCTTTGTGCTTTTGGTGAAAATTCCCTCTGGCAGCCTGGGAAGCAAACAACGGAGCAGCTATACTTGAGGAAAAAGAACAGAGCAGTGAATCCACAGGTCATAACACACAAACCTTCAAAGACCTGCATGGTCGCTTGAATTTCACAAGAGATTATTCAAGGTGGTTCTCAAGTTATTAAATTTGAGTAAGACAACACAAAACAATGAGAAAAGCCTCAGGTGACACCTGTTTTGACATAACAGCAAATTCACGATGAGAAGGAACAGGGAAAAGCTTAATGACATTTAAATTTAATTTAATTTAAAATTATAGTTTGACATTATTTTGAAAAGGTTGTGCCAAGAGTTGGATGAGAGGACTAATAATATTCTGGCATCAGTCTGGTGAATATAAAGCTACAGCTAGCAGTTAGCTTAGCATAAAGACTGGAAACAGGCAGAAACAGCTAGCCTGGCTGAGTCTATATAGATACAGTACATGTAAAATATGTTCCCCAACTCAGTATTTGATCAATACGATACACGCTATTAGGAGTTTCGTCAAGAGTCATTACTAGAGCAGCATATTAGTTGGACGAGTGCTAGAGTTAAAAAATTGATATTTACTTAATATTTCAACAAATTCTTCAAATTTAACCCAAACATATTAAGAGGATGTTTGCACAATGTTGACCTTGTGAACATTGGAGCCTGGGAACATAGATTTTAATCTCTTAACTTTATATAAGTTGTTGGGTAATTTAATCTATAACAGCAATAATCATAAGTTGTACACAATTGTTGCTGTCAAAATAAATAGTAGTGGAAATAGGGGAGTAAGAAGTACAATATTTTCCTCTGAAATATTGTGGATTAGAAATATAAAGTCACAAAAAATATAGCACTGTGGTCAAGCCCTAAAATCTGAATTTAAAAGCAGTGCTGGAGTAAATTTGTTTTCCAACACTGGTATTAGTATATGTTTGAACGGATGCTTTCTCTAAATGTTTGGTATTTTTTTGCACTATAAAAGACGTAAGACATTTTAAAAGGGGATTTCAGTGTATGTCTGGTAGAAGACATAAACATGGCTGACAGAAGTCATACAGGATCTGTGTGTGTCCTCCTGCAGAAAGAGGAGGCAGAGAAGCTGATTGTCTTCCTCAGTGGACACACACAATGAGCTGATGTATTGGGATGAGCTTCACACACACACCAGTATTCACTCCTCTCACTGTTACCACCCCACCTACTCCACATGCTTATGTAATTCCAGTACCAAGCATTACCTAACACCACACTATACACACCAGATGGGGCTCCTCGGGCTTGTATTATCAAACAGGGGGTCGGTGCACACTCCCACTCCCACATAATGTTCAGGTCCCTGACTTTATAGAAAAAACCTGCTGCAAGACCCCCCTATCATATCCGAGGCGCGGGCACGAGAGCAGAAATGCGCGCTGCCGATGGTGGGTGCAGACTCCCAGCAGTCACACACACACACATTCAGAAAGAGCGAGAGAGGGAGGGAGGGAGAGAGGGAGAGAGGGAGGTGGTGAGTCGGGCTCTGTTCTCCCACGCTTCCTCAACCATGTCTCAGCCGGGTCCAGTTTTTCCGGTGAAGAGCTCGGTGGATCAGCTGTAGCCTGACCGTGTGTGTGTGTGCGCGCGTGTGTGTGTGTGTGTGAGTGAGTGTGTGTCCAGGCTGAGAGACTGTGCGATGCTGACAACATGTTCCCTGATCGAGGAGCTGAGCGCTGAGCAGCACAGAGGAGGCACACTGGAGCGACGTGCACGGTTACAGGTAGGCTGCGTGCGTGAGCCTAGTGTCTGACGGTCACTGTAAAGCTGCACACACACACACACACACACACACACACACACATCAATACACATGCGTTTCTTTGTGTGTGTGTGTGTCGTCCAGGTATTAGCATGTTGTGGGGGCCTCAATCACTTGTGGGAGTCCCCACCAGGTAAATCATCAAATGTTAAGGTGAAGACCTTTCTTGAGGTTAGGTTCAGCTTAGGTTCAGCTTAGGGGTAGGATCTGGTTTGGTTTAAGGTTATGTTAGGTTAAGGTTAGGATTTAGGCTAGGGTTAGGCATTTAGTTGTGATGGTTAAGGTTAGGGTACGAGGTTAGGGAATGCATTTAGTCAATTAGTGTCCTCACAACTATAGAGAGATGTGTGTGTGTGTGTGTGTTCACTTCTAGCTTGGTGGGGACCATTGGTTTAGAGCCTACAGAGTGAGGACATGTTGGACCCCCACAGCTTCAACTGGTTGTTTAATGTCCAGGTTAGATCTGGGTTCGGGTCAGTGTTGTGTTGTGTTACAGGCATTTAGTTGTGATGGTTAATTTGAAGACGTAAGACGCTGGGGAACACTTAGTCCTCACAAGAGTGGAAACACAAGAGTGTGAGTGTGTGTCTACAGCTGCCTGGTGATCTGTCAGGCCCAACAGGTCAGAGTACAGCGGTGGTAAACTTTATCCA